CATTCTCATTCATTCTCATTCATTCTCATTCATTCACATTCATTCACATTCATTCACATTCATTCACATTCATTCATTCATTCATTCATCCATCCATCCATTCATTCATGCATTCATTCTCATTCATTCTCATTCATTCTCATTCATTCTCATTCATTCTCATTCATTCTCATTCATTCTCATTCATTCTCATTCATTCTCATTCATTCTCATTCATTCGTTACTTCATTTCCTGTCATTCAGTTCTTCATCACTTCATACCGTCACGTTCATGCTGGATGAAAAGAAGGAAGTGCACATTTCATTCACATTCATTCATGCCATTCCTATTGCGATTCATCCAATTCATTTTCATTCATTCTCATTCATTCTCATTCATTCATTCATTCATTCATTCATTCATTCATTCATTCATTCATTCATTCATTCATTTTCATTCATTCATTCATTCATTCATTCATTCATTCATTCATTCATTCATTCATTCATTCATTCATTCATTCATTCATTCATTCTCATTCAATCTCATTCATTCATTCATTCATTCATTCTCATTCATTCATTCATTCATTTTCATTCATTCATTCATTCATTCATTCACATTCATTCATTCATTCATTCATTCATTCATCCATTTTCAATCATTCAATCATTCATTCATTCATTCATTCATTCATCCATTCATCCATTCATTCATTCTCATTCATTCTCATTCATTCTCATTCATTCTCATTCATTCTCATTCATTCTCATTCATTCTCATTCATTCTCATTCATTCTCATTCATTCTCATTCATTCTCATTCATTCTCATTCATTCCTTCATTCATTCATTCATTCATTCATTCAGTCAGTCAGTCAGTCAGTCAGTCATTTCCATTCATTCATTCATTCATTCATTCATTCATTTTCATTCATTCAGTCAGTCATTCATTCATTTTCATTCATTCATTTTCATTCATTCTCTTTCATTCATTCTCCTCATTCATTCTCTTTTATTCATTCTCTTTCATTCATTCATTCATTCATTCATTCATTCATTCATTCATTCATTCATTCATTCATTCATTCATTCATTCATTCATTCATTCATTCATTCATTCATTCATTCATTCATTCATTCATTCATTCTCTTTCGTTCATTCTCTTTCGTTCATTCTCTTTCGTTCATTCTCTTTCATTCATTCATTCTTTCATTCATTTTCTTTCATTCATTCTCTTTCATTCATTCATCCATTCATCCATCGATTTATTTATTCGTTCATTCATTTCATTTCATTTCATTTCATTTACTTTCATATCATTTCATTTTCATTCATTTCATTCATTTCATTCATTTCATTCATTTCATTCATTTCATTCATTTCATTCATTTCATTCATTCATTTCATTCATTTCATTCATTTCATTCATTTCATTCATTTCATTCATTTCATTCATTTCATTCATTTCATTCATTTCATTCATTCTTCGTTCGTTTGTTCGTTCATTCATTCATCCATCCATCCATTCATTCATTCATTCATTTATTCATTCTCATTCTTTGATTCTCAGTCATTCAACCATTCATTCATTCATTCACTCACTCACTCACTCATTCCTTCGTTCGTTCGTTCCTTCGTTCTTTCATTCATTCACTCAGTCATTCATTCATTCATTTCATTTCATTTCATTTCGTTTCATTTTTCATTTCATTTCATTTTCATTTTCATGTCATTTCATTTCCATTGTTTTCATTTCATGTCCATTCATTTCATTTCATTCCCATTCATTCAATTTCATTTCCATTCATTCCGTTTCATTTCCATTCATTCATTCATTCATTCATTCCTTCATTCCTTCATTCCTTCATTCCTTCATTCCTTCATTCATTCATTCAGTCAGTCAGTCATTCATTCATTCATTCATTCATTCATTCATTCATTCATCCTTTCATTCATTCATCCTTTCATTCTTTCATTCTTTCATTCTTTCATTCATTCTTTCACTCAATCATTCATTCATTCATTCAATCATTCATTCATTCACTCATTCATTCATTCATTCATTCAATCAATCATTCTCATTCGTTAATTCTCATTCATTCATTCAATCATTCATTCATTCATTCATTCATTCATTCAATCATTCACTCAATCATTCATTCATTCATCTTTGCATCGATTCATCCACTCATCCATTACTCCATTCTTCCATTCATCCATTCATCCATCGATTCATTCATTCGTTCATTCATGTCATTTCATTTCCTTTCATATCATTTCATTTTCATTCATTCATTCATTCATTCATTCATGTCGTTTCATTCAATTTTATGTCATGCCATTTCAATTCATTCTTTTTCAAGTCATTCATTTCTTTCCAGCTCACCAAAAAAATCCTATAAGCAAACTGTTTCCTATAGTCATGTCCTATTTTCGAAATTTCCTCCCCGGCTCGTGCCGGGCATTCCCTTGTAAGAAAAAAAAATATATAGATAAATAAGTATTAATATATGTATTTATATTTATATTCATAAGTTTTTTATTTACACACATATATATATATATATGTATACATGTACACAATTATGTATGCTGCTCGGTGGGTGGTAGTTACAAACATCAAATTATTTTATTTTCCATCAACCAGTGACTTCACTGATAATCTTTTGGAGGGTTGAATGCGCTACAACCATACCAGCCATGGGTTAACATCCCTAGGTGCCAAGCTGGAACTGATGTACGACCTGGTAGGTGCGGTTTGCCCGGTTGGGAGGCAACCTAAAAACCATGGGAGAACGGATGGAAACCGGACCCTTTGACCTAGGAACTGGCCCTGGCACACTGCTGGCAGAGAGGAAGAGAGGGAGGACACCTGGAAATGGTGTGTTTTTATTACTTGTGCTGACATAGTAGTAGTTTTGTCACTATCTATGCATGTAATTATGGTTTGCGAATGGTTTCAAATTCACAATGATGCCATGGTGTCGCGCTGGAAATTTCTGGGCCCTGAGCACCACAATCTATACGTTAACACTTGCGGAGCAAACACTAGCCGCTAGATAGTATCTCTTGTTGTGCATTTTTTATTGAAAGAACAAAAACATCATCATGAGGTTCAACATGGTTGACACCTTGCCAAAAAGTACGATTGATTATATATATATATATACATAGGATGAAACTTCCCTGCGCCCTCAACACTACCATCAAAAAGTCTGGATTAGACCATGATGATGAATAGCATAACATTTGGATGACATAAACCAAGGCAAAAATGAGCGAATGATTTCCACTTACCTTCAGTGCATACCCAACCATGACAACCATGGCACCTCAGGTTTGCGGCTGGCTGCGTTGGGTGGCACACAAGTTGCCTTCCACGATGGAGCGCTCTTTGAAGAACCTGAGGTAACTGATGCTTTAACTGCATCCTGCTTGAACAACAAATCTGTTTGTTTTTGGGTGTTATTTGATTCCAATATTTGCGTCTAGCATTTTCAAATCATCGTAGAACGGATAGTTCCAATCGACTGATTTCTTTGAAACATGTTTTTTCCAAACATTAACCTCTTGGCGATGATCCAAATTTACATCCTGGTCTCTAGTCCAACATGGGTTTGTAGGCTTAATAGTTACCCAACCCCCAGAAAACTGCCATATGTTGAATTGTTCAATTTAGGTAGGAACTACGGTGTTTCAGAAAGCTAAAATCATGCACCGGGAGCGCCTTCAGCCATGAACATTTAGTTTCCTTCTCTTGCCTTGAGTCAAACTTTTTGGCAGTTGACAGGTTTTCAATACAGCGCCCCTGTCACAGCACGGGTACGTTGGGATAATGATCCCATCCTAATATGAAAGACCAAAACGGAGAGAACAACAATAATTTTCACCAGGGTTTCTAAGGGGGTATTCAATCTTAGGGGACTGGGATCATATTATATATATATAGATGTTTTTGTATCAATGGCAATATACACTGTAGAGCCCTATTTCAGAACTTAAATTGCAAATCTTAATATTGTCTATATTAAGAACAATTGGTATGTATATATATATATGTATTAGAAAACCCCGAGATATAGAAAAGTAGATGATGCGTATTTTAGTCGGATTTTACCTTTCTATCGTTTTGGGGATTGCTGCCTGCAGTTGGGGAAGCCGGAGCAGCTGCAGCCCTGGCAGGTGCCAACGGGATGGCCCTGGGATTTTACATACCAAGAAACTGGAGGTTTGACACCAATAAATTTATATGATAAGCATATATACATACATACATACATACATACATACATACATACATACATACATACATACATACATACATACATACATACATACATACATACATACATACATACATACATACATACTATACATACATACATACATACATACATACATACATACATACATACATACATACATACATACATACATACATACATACATACATACATACATTATATAATTCATGTGTATATATATATATGTATATATATATATGCAGTGTTTTCTGAAAAAGGTCATCGTTAAAGGTGAGGTGGAATGGACATGGATCCAATTTATGCACATGTTCAGTTTTGGTTTTGGTCATTTTGATCACCAGTTTTCTTGGATATATAATTTTGACCCATAGCCTTCATGGATTGACTGCTGCGCTGCATCTCCCATGGACAATGGGATAAACTTGGAGGCTCCAATCCACTTGCTGTAAATGCCTTTAAGTTAGCCAATCGTCACCAGCCAATTAATTGCATTGATATGTATATATATACATATGTATATACATATATATGTATATGTATATGTATATGTATAATGTATATGTATATGTATATGTATATGTATATGTATATGTATATGTATACATAACTATTTAGCCAACTAATGCAACTTGTTGTTATGTAGTCCCCAAGGTCCAGCGGGTCCTTTCTGAAAGTTTGTGGCCACAGGTCCACGGCAGTTTGTTGCCAACATCTTTGCATGACCTCACGGTACAAGCAGCTTGCGGCTCAGAATGGAGGCGGTCCTGGATGAGATGCAGCACCTGCCAAGTGGGGATGAATATGGGTTAGTCTGATTGATTTGTTGATGATATATTATCCAAACTCCAGCTTTGATGGTTGATCTATTTTGCTGGGGAACTCGAAGATTTCTTTTTCTCGCACTCAGATTTCAAGCCTACGGGATTCCAAGGGCACTTAGCAGTTCAGATCATGCCTGGCGAGCTATGACTTGGCCAGCGACTGCTAACTTTTGCAACCCTTGGGCAATCTGACGATGAAACATCTTCATCTACCCTAGGGCAAACTAACATAGATGTGGAAAACCCATGGTTTCCCTAGGAGAATGAACTACAGACAAATGCTGATTTTTCTACATCTATGTTAGTCTACAGGAGGGTATGTGCATATATAATCATATCTATATATACATACACACATATATATATAATATTATATAATATAATAAAATATAATATATAATATAATATAATATATAATATATAATATAATATGATATAATATGATATGCATATATATATATACATATTATTTCTTGTCCAAAGATAAGGATTTTCTACTGCCACAAAAAGGTTTGCCGTTAGGGGCTTTCAAGATCCCAAGATCCCGCAGATTCAAGCCGCAACCGGCGGATCTCACCGTTTCGCGCACCGAGCGCTTCAAGATGGACCGTGACAAGGTGTTGGATGGCGGGGGAAACTTTGGGTGATCCTTGAGGGCAGTCATCCCTTCTTAGTTTTCGATGGGGCGCCCCCAAACGAAAGCCATTGATCTTTCTTGAAGCAGAAAATTGGGGTGTATTCAATACATTCAATATTGATTCGGGGATTCGTCGGGGATGGGATTGAATTGTTAGCAATTGGGGAGCTCAATGCAGCTCACCTCAAGGAATACTCACATTTGTAGCGGTATCCCTTCCTACATTTTCTGTCCCTGAAATGACGAGCCGCAAGAGGAACATGATTTGATGACATGCTATCTATTTTTATTATATATATATTATTTATCTGGTTGAAATTTGGGTATGTTCACTTCTATGCATCTACAGTATTCAGATAGAATCAATTCCCTTTGGGTGACACTTTTTTTGTGTCCCCACATTTTGGACCAGACTTTCAGATACTTTCGGTGTAAAAGCCTTTGGTTTTCCCCGACCAAGCTGCCCAGCATAACCGTTAGCTCTCTTTTTTGGACTGGCTTTCTTCAAAGGCTTATATCTCCAAAAAGATAGAGCTTAGTAGAATCCCACTAGAACAGTCATAAGCTACTTTTCTGTCCTTTTTGGCTTTGCTATATTTCGCTTCGAAAAGGTGACTTGGGAAACATTGATGATACTTTGCTTAAGTGATGTAACTCATTTCACGTTAATATTTCACAGGTTATTGCCACTTAAGGATGCCATGGGAAAAGTCCGAATCTTTCTCGAGGCCACCAGCTATCTATATGAACAGTTTTTTGTTCACTTGGCCTTCGCTGGGAAAAGTTCGGAGTGGATCGAGTCGCGTTGTGCTGCCTGGCGAAAAGGAAAACCGCAAGCTGGGTGTCTGAAACTGGGCTATGATACCATCTGGTTATGACTAACATAGCCATGAAAAATCACCATGTTTAATAGGTAAATCCAGGTAAACCATCTACAAATGGGCCATTTTCCATGGCTATGTTAAATAACCAGGTGGTAAACCATGCTGAAATGAAATTTGCTGCTACCCTGTATTAAGCCCTGTGTCAAACGTTTCCGTATTGACGGCATATGACTACAGATGTGGATCTGGCAGCGGTTGCATCATTGCACTACCATCCTTCCAATTCTTGGAGGGCCATAATGAATACCCTCCACATAGCTATGGAAAGTCATCTTTTTTGGAGCTAAGTCATCTACAAAGGGGCCATTTCCCATAATTAGTTATATGTTAGTTCACTGGAGGCTAAATCCAGCACTCAACAAGTTATATACTTTGTGGGGAGTTACCACCTCCATTGACTCGCAAAGCGCCTAGGTCTTTCACTTGCAGGAACGCTTGGATTGGAACTTCTTGGATCACGTGCTGGCAGGACTTGTCCGTATCCACTTGAAGAAAATCAATGTCAGGGGGATTGCACGAACTGATGAACCATTAATTGTGTGGTCCCTGATTTTTAGACTTTAGACAATCACAAACTAAATTGGAACAGTAAACCAGGTCTGACTTTGGCCAAAATAATTGACATGTCCCTCAAATGTAGCAGCTTGGTGACCCTTTTTTTGGGTCATCTCAAGTGTCTGGGGCTCAAAACATGGAAGGCCCGTTGTGGGATGGATGGGAGGTCCGCTGCTGCCAGCAATACCAGGAGTGTATCAAATTCCCCCAGCATTACCATATCCCGTCGACCGCGGCCAGCTGGCTGACATGGTACCGCGGCGAGTCACTTGGCGCTGATTGATAGCCGAACCATTGATTTTTTATGATTTTTTGTCTTTGTAAATTGTGCGTCTCCATTATTTCCCCATGCATGCCAGAATTCGCGAGGCGAGGGGTCCTGTAAACTCATGTGACTCATGTATTAACTCATGTAAATTTGACGATTATTGGGGGTCAAAAATTTGGGGCTCTGGTTCTTTGCCAGGAAATTTTCTCCCCACAAGTCAGCCCAGATCAGCCCAGATCAGCCCAGCACCCCGTTGAGGACAGTTCCACGACCTCCTTTGCTGGGGACACACGTGATGGTTGGCAGCTCCGAGGAGTGCAGGGGAGTTAAAGCAGTTTTTGCCCCATTTTACCTGATTCCATGGCTGGATATTGATGGATATTAGTCGGAATTACAATTTAATAAGATTTTAATATTTGAATTAATGGATACTAGTGGCATACGAATGGGTATTCTGGATGTTTTTGTTTGGTCAATGTTCACCTTGTTGGCTGTATCCCTTTTTCCCCACCTGCCAGGTGAGGGTTGTTAGATTTTATCTAAGTTGCCTCCTCCTCCTCCTCCTCTCCTCCTCTCCTCCTCCTCTCGTCGTCCTCCTCCTCTCGTTGTCCTCCTCCTCTCGTTGTCCTCCTCGTCTCGTTGTCCTCCTCGTCCTCCTGCTCAACTGCGACTCGCGATCCACAGTGTTCTCTGCCGGACCTCAACCACGACCATCCACGCCCAGTGTTCCCTGCCGGATCTCAACCACGACCAGCCACGCCCAGTGTTCCCTGCCGGACCTCAACCACGACCATCCACGCCCAGTGTTCCCTGCCGGACCTCAACCGCGAGTATCCACGCCAAGTGTTCCCTGCCGGACCTCATGTAAGAAGATAAAATGTCAGATAGAGTGCCAGAAGATTTGCCAGGTAGAATGCCAGAAAATATGCCAGAAGATATGCCAGATAGATATGCCAGAAGATATTCCAGAAGATATTCCAGATAGAATGCCAGATCGAATGCCAGATAGAATGCCAGAAGATATGTCAGAATATATGCCAGAAGATATGCCAGATAGAATGCCAGATAGAATGCCAGAAGATATGTCAGATAGAATGCCAGAAGATATGCCAGATAGAATGCCAGATAGAATGCCAGAAGATATGTCAGATAGAATGCCAGAAGATATGCCAGATAGAATGCCAGAAGATTTGCCAGATAGAATGCCAGATAGAATGCCAGAGATATGTCAGAATATATGCCAGAACATATGCCAGAAGATATGCCAGATAGAATGCCAGATAGAATGCCAGAAGATATGTCAGATAGAATGCCAGAAGATATGCCAGATAGAATGTCAGAAGATTTGCCAGATAGAATGCCAGAAGATATGCCAGAAGATATGCCAGATAGAATGCCAAATAGAATGTCAGAAGATATGTCAGATAGAATGCCAGAAGATATGCCAGATAGAATGCCAGAAGATTTGCCAGATAGAATGCCAGAAGATATGTCAGATAGAATGCCAGAAGATGTGCCAGTAAGAACATGTATATATGTCATGGTGGGGATCACACGAAGTAAAGTAATTTGGATGGCTCAGGTCAGCCAGTCAGACCATGAAAAATGTCGTGAATTTTGCCGCAGAAGATGGCCTGGAAACCACGCTGTTCATGACCGGTTCCATGGGCAAAAATCATCAAAAGCGGTTTCACAACTTTACACTCCCAATTTGCCAAGTTGGGAGGAGCTTTGAAACAGCACATGCTCATTTTGATGCCCAAATCTTCCTTGGCCTCTTCACACTCCGAGATGATGAAGTTCCTTTGGGATGCACTGCCTCCAGCTGGATTCATTCCATGAATCTTTGATTTCCCAGACTGTCCCATGGGTCTTTGTGAAGGATGATGAGACTTAATCCCCCAGCTGACTGATACTTGATGATACTTGTATGTTCGGGATGTGTTGAGACTGCGAAGCGGTACTGATACTGTAGCCGATGAGACGGACGTTCATACATTTCGCCAGACTCCGGCTGTGACATCGGTGAGCATCCCCAACCTTGGATGGGTATTTGATTCAGTTTTTTTTGGGGGGCTACGAATGAAAAAGAACCATCACCAGCAAAAGATTCAAAGACTGGACAATGGTAAGTGCTAAAAGTGAATTCATGTGAAATCACTTTTCTCTCCCAGGTGCGTCCTCGCCAAGCTGGGGGGTGGCATCAGCATCGGCGCTGTGGTGAAAATGGGTTATTTGAATGGGATATTGTGATTTTACCATTCAAAATGGTGATTTAATTTGATTTAATGGGATGTTTCGGATGTTTGTGGGAGTTTCCATCCAAAAAAACATATTCATATAAGCTAAACTGGCATGGCCATGGAAAATGGCCCATTTGTGGGATTATTTGCCCATATTTGCCCATTATTTCAATGGTGATTACCATAGCTAGAGGGTACAGGGTCTATAGCAATCCCGAAACAGATTCAGTTTGAAATCTGGAAATGCTGCGATTTATTTGCCTCATGATTTGCAAGTTTCCAAGGTTTCTATCTTTTTTGGGTTGCTGAAATCGCCTGTTGTTTGATGCCGCACCTTGGGTAAATGGGGTTTGAACTGGAGAGCAGTGGGATTTCTGCGATCTAGCTAGCTGCAGCCTAGGGAAAGATCCCTTCGATGCATTCGATGAAGCGGGGACCTTCAAGAAGAATCAGGCCGCATCAACACGTCCGCGTTTGATTCCATGTTTCTGCCGTGGGAGGAGGATTATGTTGCCCCCTGTGAATCCGAACAGAACCGAATATGAATGTTAAAACAAAATAAAACAACACCTTCCTCAAAAACTATGATTTTCGATGGACACATAATGTTCTCCAGCCATTTCTAGCCTCCCATCCCCAGGATGTGTTGCTCCAATCTCTTCAAGAACGACAAGTCCGTGCCCGCCTCAAAGGCCTTAGGAGATATATTGGGGCCCTGGGGTTCAAACCCCCTTGGGGTTTGTTTGTGTAGAATCATGGCTAAAAACTTCCAAATGAATCAATGATGATACTCTGATAAGAATTTGAAAGAAATTCATAGAAATTATATCAGTCCAAAGTCCAAAGTCCAAAGAAACATTTTGAGGGACCTTTGCTGGTGATGCAGGAAGGCAGAGTGACCGTGCTGAAATTTGAGGACCCAATCCTGCATTTGAGCCAAGGTGTTAGTCCAGTTGAGACTCAATCTGATACTGGGCTTCCAAAAGAGGATTGCACATATTGCACGCCATTGCTGATGTTTTTCCTTGTTATCCCTCTTTTCCATCCTTTGCGGTCTCCGTATTCTTCTACTGAGGGGTACTGAGCGGTTGGGCATGGTCAAGCACTTGCAACCTCCAGAAATTCCAAAACCTATGACGCTCAAGCCCATCTCTATGTTCTTACTCCGGTGCTTATCATCCTGCATGTTGCGAGTTGAATAGAAATTCCTCAAAGCCAGGCGCTGTTGCACTTGTTGCGGCTCATCTTGTCAAGATGTTCCAGTCACCAGTAGTCTTTAAACAGCTTCAGCACACCGACTGAGGATGGGATGTCCTTGCCGTCAAGATCGCAATCGAGGCTGGCAATTTTGAATGACGTTGCCTACAATTAAAACATATCAAAACAACCACTGCTAGCTGTTTCTTTTAACATCCAGATATTTTGGGATATTTGGGTTTAATTTTCCTTATCAGTGGAACATGAAAGAGACAGCGCGGAACAAGAAACACGGATAGGAAGTGCATTGGGAAAGTGACTGTAGAAAATATGATCAACACATAAACAAACTCCGGGAATCAAATGTGGCTGCCTAGGAAATCCCTTCTCAATGGGGGGATTCAGTGGCAACATCGTCGAAGTAAATGGTGATTTCCCAGTGCCACGTTTGACTACTGGAGTGTAAGTATAATTAATGTATATATTCCTTTAGCTGGCCCTAGTTACTGTACAGTATTCCCAACTAGTCCCTACCGGTCGCAGCTAGGACTAGCCTTACGGTGTCGGCCAAAAATGGCCACCATTTTCGTAGCTGTTCCGCTGCAGGAATGACTTTCCTGACAAGAGGCCTCAGGCGTGGTGATTGAGGGGCAGTTGTGGCAAGTTATGGAAAGTTTATAGTTACTGCCACCACTCGTTACTATTTGTTAGCTGGTGTTGAATGCATAATAAATGCCTAGCAGATTTTGCCATTTTGGAATGTTTTGCACCCTTTCCAGTCTAGCCTTTTCAGCACAGGCTGGTTTTGAACTGGAGAGTCGAAAATGGTTGTGGAAAGGGGTCTTGCATTCTTTGGAGACATTCAGTAGTTGGCGCTATTTTTTTTGATATGCGGTGCTATGACCTACTGGCTAGCAATAATTTGATAGGTGGCTCAGCCACAAGCCAGACTTGGAACTGTATGCGAGCTTCTTTAAACTTCAGTCGTGCTCCCATGTTTGCCTCATGGGTTCTCATTATTACATTCGTATCAATTTTTGTATGTGTTGTATCAATCAGTTTGAATGTACGCTGCTTTGTATATAATGTGCATTCATGTTATTTCATGTGTGATTCTCTAGGTATATATATATAATATGATGATGTATTTGTACGCGGGCATTTCGCCCCAGCACAGCTCGGGCAGAGAGACCTGAAGGCGATGGAGAGAGAGAGAGAGAGAGAGAGAAGCAGAAGCAGAAGCAGAAGCAGCAGCAGCAGCAGCAGAAGCAGAAGCAGAAGCAGTATTATGTGTATGAACATGTACCCATATGGTATACCATGGTATACCATGGTATACCTATATACATGTATGCATGTGGGTGCCCGTATACAAATATATATATATATGTATATATATATATATGTGTAAATATATATATAAGTGTGTGTGTATGTATATATATATGTGTAAATATATATATAAGTGTGTGTGTATGTATATATGTATATATGATAATAAATGACATCACATTTACAACCATGGCCAAACAACCTCCACCAGAGCCCCACAAGAACTAGGCCTTAAGCGGCGACGGTGTGGTGTGGAGTTTCGAAGTAGGCCGAGAGGACAGAGTTAACCGCTTTTCGGTTGGGTTAAGAATGGCGGGTTTGACCAGCAGACATTTCAATGGGGGATCCCAAATAGCCAGATGGCTTATTTCATGGAAAATCCATAGATGGATGATTTGGGGGTACCCCCATTTTAGGAAACCCCCACCAAAGTGGTAGAATTGGAATATCATGGGAATATGGGGATACAACTATATAACCACCGATCCCCTGGTAATGAAACATGCTGGGAAGTTCCCCAAACAAATGTAGGTTTATTGCTTGGAAAATCATCGATAT